GGACACTTGCGATGATGCGTCACCCAGTGAACTAACTTATGAGGTTCAGAGAAGCAATCTACTCATTAGCTTCCTCGTTCATTCTCGCGTTCTCGAAACGAAACTGTATTTGTTATATTTATTAATCTATTGCCAGTTTACAGGTAAAGTCAGAATTGGGTTAATTTGTAAAACATCTCGTGATCGCCTTCAAAAACTTGGAAGACGGGAAAAAACTTAAATATATGATTATTTTACTGAGACGATTTATCCTTGCGGTTGATTGCAATCTTGTTTTTGTGCAATCATTTCCCAAGAAATTTTTCTGTATCACCAACGTAGCTTTTATCATAATTTCTGTAGAATATGATTGGAAATAACACTTATTTTCTATAAGCAATTGTGAGCTTCATGATCTGCAATGTAATCGTCAATGGCGATTTGTGAGCCATGCTAACCCCGAATAACTTCTGATCCTTTGTGAGCGCACAACGTTCTGCCCAAATCCGCAACTATATTGAATAATTTTTACACGAAATTTGTTGCGCTGCACCAATTGTGATGTGACGTACATACCAAACTAAAAACAGAAATCGACGGAACAGTCATATTTATACAAATGCAGAAATTTGAGTTCAATAAGCTTAACACGGTTTTCCAAAGAGTACACTTTCAGTTTCATACGCTTGACACATCACCCTACCCACGTTCTCTTTTCGCAATATTTTTCATTTTTCTGTATCCTTCTCTTCCGTCTACTTTCCGATTTTTTTGGCATTAGTGCGGTTTTATGTGTGTCTATTTGTCTCCGCTGTCATTCGGTGCATTCACTTACTGACAGTTCCATGTATTTTGCGGACGTCTACTCGTAACTAAAACGAGTATTACGTTTTCGAATTAATTCGATTCGGTGAAAGGAAGTTTTAATTGCATACATTCCAACTTTCCAGAGTCCGGGAACAAGTTAAACTTTCATCGTAAAGACTATGCGGGACACATATTTCGTTTTTTGGGATAGAATAGTTTGCAGACATGTAAATACTGCGGCTATGTGTGTCTTGCATTAGTTTTTGTTTTAATCGTCTAAATAAGGGTTATAAGGGTGTCCTTTGAACCTTGTCCACATTTCGAAAATCATGGCAGTGGATGTGGCAGCTATCGCGAAACAATCGGATCAACTGCATGACGAGGTTAAACTCATAGAAGACTATGATTTACTTAAAAAATATTATCAAAATGGTGGTGTCGAACTCCAATGGCGTTTTGCCCAAGCTTGTCGTGCGAGAAGTAAGTCTTCCATATTTTCCCCTTTAACGTGTATAGTTTTCAATGACGCGAAGGGTGACAAACACAAAATTAAAGAGCTAACAGCAGAAGGGTTGGAAGCAGCAAAACTCGCCGTTGAGTCAAATGATAAAAATGCGGATGCTCACATGGTTGTGAAAATTACCATTTTCTAAATGTCTAATTTAGTGGCTCGGTATCTTCTACGATCAAGAGGGGCAACTCTCAGGAATAAATAAAAGGATAGAAAATGCATTCAAAGTCAGGGAGGAATTTGAGGTACGTCGTCTTATATTGTAATATTTTTTAAAGAAAGCTATTGAGCTTGACCCCAAGGACGCTGGTCCATATCACTGCATGGGCGTTTGGTAAGAAATGACAGATAACCGAACTTTTCGAAGGTGTCACGAAGTTGCAAGTTTGGGCAAAATTGAAAGGGCATTCGCTACTGCCTTCTTCCGCAAGCCCCCGGAATCGTCTTATGAAGACGTAAGATGATATAATGTAAGCATCCAATTGTTTTAGGCGATAAAAAACTTCGAGAAATCAATTGAGTGTAAGTCATGAAGCTAGCTCATGTTTTGCTTTAGTATGGCCAATGAGATATTGTGACAGTTATGCGAGGCTTGCGGAATGCTATGCTAAATTGAAGGATAAGGAAAATACGAAGAAGTATGCGGATATCGTACTTGCTTGGAAACGAGGCGACGACGAAGCCAAAGAAGTAAGTTTTCGATTAAATTTCACTAAATTTTGCAGGCGCAGAAGAGAGTTGCGAAGCTAATCTAATAACCTCCGCCGGCCTACTTGGTGTTCCTTCTCCATTTTCTGGAAATTACAGCTGTGCTAGCACAGGGCAAGTACAAGTCACAAAAAACGTACTTTAATCTTAAATGTGCAAACATATTCTAATAAAGTATTTTTGAATGGTCTAACTTATGTCATTGCTTTAGCACGTCTGCTAAAAAAATATGTACGTTGCATTGCCACGTACGTGAATGAGGCTGTAATTCATCAGAAACAAGTCAAATGGAGTCAAAAAATATATCCAACCAGGTGAAAGATTTCCACCAAGTATACGCGTAGAACGTATTCAACCGTTAATTTACTGTTTGGTGTTTACTGTTTCATTAAAATTATTTTGCTATGAATATAGTTTAATCTGCCAGTGTAATGCAATCCAAGTAACCTTGGGCATCTAAATGTCAGATCCCACGTAAACCGTC